TTTTGTTTGATATCTCAACTTTATTAAATGAATGAAGAAAAATTGAATAAAACTGGGTGACAAATTTTATTTATGTGTAACCATAATTTAAGTTAAATATTTTAAATTTTAATTTAAGGAACTTTTGTCATTTGTTTTTCAAAAGCAGATTGCTAGCTTATTTTTATTTGCTCACTCCCAATGAAATATTATCCATGTTGCTCGATGAAAACGAGAGGGAATGTTGTTTATAGGTCTTAGAATTTTGTTAAAAAACTATCTGTTAACTTTTGAAAAGAAGCATAATATTTTTACAGAAATAAAGATTTTGAAGTTATATAAATTTTGTACAGAAAAAATAAAATTCTGAAAACAAATAAATTATCCACTTTTTTCAATGATTTTTATTACTGTAAAATATGTTTTATAAAATAATTTTTTGATAATCAAATTTACAACATCGAATTACTGTGTTTTATAGAATCAACCTCTCTTTTTTAGTAATTTATAAAATAGCAACCTCCTGTGTTTTTCACATTTTGTAATAATTATGAAGCAACAATACTGTGAATTCTGTTTTTTATTTAATTACTTAAATCAGGTTGGAAGATAAGACAAAATAATAATAAGTGGATAGTTGAAACCCTTTGAATGTAGTAATCATTGATAAAGGAAGGACAGTAGAAGAAAGTGAATTTTTATTTCTGTCTAAAAATAACCTTTAAAAGAACATTTTCTTTTCTTTTTTATTGTGGGCACCCATTTTTTCTTATTTAGATAAAAAATACAAAAATTATTAAAGAGCATTATGCCTGAAAACTGAGATAAAAGCACATATATTGATAGTTATGATGTGATAAATATGTGTTCAGTTATATATTTAGATTATTTTATGGGTGAATAAACCCTTGATGCTTATTACAGCTTAGAAAATTTTAAATTTTGACTTACTGACCTCTTGGTAGACACTCTAACTAAATGTATCATTAAGAATTAATCTTCTCTATTCTGGGATTAAAGAAAAATTATATGATTATAGTCATTACATGTTTATAATCACTGTTAACTTTCCACTGCAATAAAGTTTCTCATTCAAACTTTTTATTCTTTCACGGGAATGGACAGCAGGTGAATGTATACCAGAATTTTTTTCTGATCCTCTGATTTTTAATTCTATTCACTCAGACTTAAATGATCTTGGCATTCCATGGTGTGATAGTCCAGAAGATTTTGTGGCAAAGCATAGAAATGCTTTAGAAAGTTCTCATGTATCTGAGTCGCTTCATCACTGGATGGATTTAACTTTTGGTTGTATAGTATGTATTCTTAATATTTCTCTTTTAAACTAATGGATTTATGTTTTTGGTGTGTTGAAAATTGTATTAATTTTCTGTACTGTGATTTTTAAGTAGCGCTTTTAGACTTACCATTATTTACATACATCAGTTTTTCAGCTAAAAATTTAAATAAATAATGTGAGAGTACTAATTTTAGCCACAAATCATTTTTTTTTTAAAATTGTTTGTTACTCATTTTTTCAAAAAAATAAATAAATAAATAAAATAGGAAAAAAAAGATTAAACTTAATAAAAGTAGATGTAAAATTTTTACTGATATTATAGCCTTTTTGTAACCAATGAAAGAAATTAAAAAAAATGTATTAATTTTTTCTATTAAATTTTTAAAAACATTCTGGGAAAATTTTTTCAACCATGACTTCAAAAAATTTTTCTATTGTTGGGTTATTAATTTTTAAAGGGTAACCTAAATATCCTTACATATTGTTGCAGAAAATCTGGTTTTGTAAGCTCTAATAACTCAAACAGTGAAAATGATGCAATCTTAGTTAAGACTTGGAACTGAATTGTCTAAGTTTTTCATGTGATCAACATTTAGTTAACATATTATGTTACTTATTACTTTTTACATTTGATAAACATATTACGTTATTTTTTTAAAAAAAAAAATCTATTTTTTTAGTATTTAAATATCATTTTTAAGTTTATTTTTACTGTGAATTTTAACGTTTTATTTTAAACTGCATACATCATAATCCTATGAGACAGGAGACTTAAGCTTTTTTGAAAATGTTTATTTTTTAAGGTCATTTTTCATTGGTGAGGTAGAAAAGAAGTTTTACATAATGTTGCTTAAATGTATCATACTGGTTATTTCTTATTAATTTGCTCTATGATGCAAATAATGAAGGATGTTGCCCTTAAAAATAATAGTATTGAAATTTTATTTCTAAAAGTATTGAGACCTTAATTCCTGAAAGTTGTATATTTGTAAGGAAATGAAAGAAGGGGACAAATATTTCCTTTTGAGGTAAACAATGAAATTAAAAGGAATAATGTATACATCTACTAAATATTTCATGACAATATTATTCTAGAAAACATAGAAGAGAAAAACTAAATTCTTTAAAATAGATTGAGTTTGTGCAGTAATATTGTAAAATTATATAGTACCTAATATAGTAATATTATAAAAATGGCCAAGCTGTTGTTATTCTTAATATGCAGAAATCATGAAAAAAGGGAGGGAGTGTAGTAAGCTAAGGAAGTAATCAACATGTATAACTTCATTCTTGAAAATTGCATGTATTTTTTTATTTGTGAACCTATCTTTATTTTTTTTTAGTTTTAAAATAAATTTTTCTTATCATTATTTAAGTAATTTTTTCCATTCCAATGACAGTGCAAACACATTAACTGAAAAATAAATATGTCAAAATTAGTTTCCTTTTATTTTTAGTATTAAAGCATTCAAAACAAATCTTTGTGAGAAAAAAAAAATTCAAATAATTTTTGGTTAAAGCAAAATATGGATTGAGCTAATTTTCGTTTAAATTTAGGTCTATATAGTTTTAAAGTAAAATCTAATAGTGAGCTATAAATGGATGAATTAATTTATCACTCAATCTGACTGCCTTGAATTCTGAGTTTTATAAGCAGTCAATTAGCACTGCTTTATGCATATTTAGAAGTCCAGCATAGACGCAATGTTCCAGATAATTGGTTTTTAACTATAGCAGTAAATATTAAAAACAAAGTAATCTTATTTTGATTTTATTAGCATTTTAAAATAGGTAGGTAATTTCTTTGCTTGGAGCAATGAACTTAATATGGTTAAAAAATCAAATATGCTTTAAATATTTTTGTTTTGTTCCATAGGTAATCTAATTTTTTTTTTTTTCAAGAAATTTTTCTGATCTCATAATGAGTTATCTTAAAAATATGAACTCTCCCAAATAATGTCAAACACTTCAATGAAAATGAAAAATAATCTTTTTGAGTGTTAAAAATAGATAATAAAATTACGATTAAGAATAAGAATAATCAGGTAATTTTCCTTACAAATATTATTATTTTTCTGTTCTTACAGTTTCAAACTGATATTGTTTTAGTAATGTTGTAATACTAAAAAATTATAGTTAGGCAAAGAAAAAAAAACATAAGATAAAATTTTAATTTCAGAAGGCGAAAGTTGATTCACATTATTTAATAAATTGATTTAAAGATTTTAAGTTATGAAAAAGCAATTTAAACTTTAGGTGAGATTTTTGGGTGTGATTTTAAAATTCATTTAAGTTATAGAACTGCCAAAGTCTGAAATTGCTGGGGCTTTATTTAAAAAGTATAATTTTTTTATTAAAAAAAGTACTTAACAGGACATTTTCTTGATTGTAGCAGAAAAGAGAATATACTCTTTTCGTTAAAATAATAACATTTTAAGGATTGGCATCTGAAAGCTATAAATATGACCGTGTTATTTATTTATTTATTTTTTTGTATCTAACTAATTATTTAGGAAAACTAAGTGTGAAATAAAATAAAATTATTCTAGGCAGGGTTAACAGGGCGCAGCACCCTGTTGCCCCCTGAAGTAAGTTAATGGCTTGATGTAAAAGACTCTATACCCTTTTTGCCTTTCTTTCCTCAACCTTTCTTCATNATAAAATTTGCCTAACAAAATGCTTATTTTTCATACCTGGCATGTATCATGATATTTTATAACTAAGATTAAACATAAGAAGAAAATGATTTCCAGATGTGAAAAAATATATAATTTGGAATTAAGTCTAGTCAGAGCTTATTCTAGGCAGGGTTAAGAGGGCGCAGCACCCTGTTGCCCTTTTAGTCAAAAGGATCCACCCTGTTGCCCCCTGAAGTAAGTTAATGGCTTGATGTAAAAGACTCTATACCCTTTTTGCCTTTCTTTCCTCAACCTTTCTTCATTTTTTCCCCAAACTCTACAATGGATTTCTTAAGCTTTTGTTATTTTCAACTCTTTTTATTTAGTTTGTCAGTGCTGTCAATACATAGATTTATATGGGAAAGGAAAAATAGCCATCACGCCCCCCTGTTGCACTTGTCTTTGAGTTGCCTTGAGTCCCTGTTGCAGTTACTTCCACTATCTTCCAGAGCAGAACAGTTCAATAGAGGCCTCTCAGTTGCCCATCAGGAATTCATTAGTGGGGAGAGGGATAATAAGATGCCTTTCTCTAATTCTTGGTTTACTCTTTTCCCTAAAAGAACATAAATCTTTTTTTCTCAAGCAATGTTCTATTGTAAGATTTGGAGAGTGGTCAGCAGGTGTGGAAGGGCATCCTTTTGGTATACCAGAACTATCTTTTGGAAAACTCACAGTTTTAGCAATCAATCAAAATTCTTATGACTGTACTTAAACTACCATAAATTCAGGAACACCACTTACAATTCAACTCCACACAACAAAATATCACTATAAAATATGTTCATTTGAGCAGATTTTAGGTTCAGGCTTATCTAAAAAATGGTGGAAATGAAATAGATAATTTTTTTTATAGGTTTAATGTAATTATTTAGGAAAAACTTTTTATTTTATTTTAACAATATGCTTACTGTAATCAAAAGCATAAATGGTAGTAAGATGCTTTATTGAATTTTGTATGTTATTTTTCAATTAATCTTAAATTTTTTTTAAAAAAATTTGCATGGTATTGAAAACTGTTTTTATGAAAATATTTTTAATAATTTAAATTCTTATTTCTGTTACTGGCATAAATAGGTTTAAATTTAATATAATCAAAGAAATATATATATATTTTTTTTTAAAATTTGAACTTTNATTGAAAACTGTTTTTATGAAAATATTTTTAATAATTTAAATTCTTATTTCTGTTACTGGCATAAATAGGTTTAAATTTAATATAATCAAAAAAAAAATTATTTTTTTTTAAATTTGAACTTTACTACTAAATATTACTATAAAATGTGTTCATTCAAGCAGATTTTAGGTTTAGACTTATCTAAACAATGCTGGGAATAAAAATAGACCATCATTAAGGCCATGTTTTGATAGTTTCTTAAATTAGTTTAATATAATATTGAAGAAAAACTGAGTAAGATGCTTCATAGAGTTTTGTATGCTATTTTTTAATTAATCTTTAGAATTTTTTTTTGATTTGTATGGTATTAAAAACATAAGTTTTAAATTATTTTTAATGTATAATATTTTCAATGTATATTATTTAATTTAATGTTGCATTTTTAATTATGTTGTTATACTATTTAAAGCGCCTATAATAAAATTAATAACTGAAAAGTTAATTATTTATTAAATCATAACTACAGACACTTAAAAACATACATTTATTATTTTATTAATATATGCATGCATTTTAAATAAATTACTATGCTAATTAGCTCATTAACTTGATTTATATGTTAATTTATTAATAAAAATTAGTAATTAATATGTTTTCTTTGCTACTTTTTGTAAAGTAAAAAGTTTTTCTTCTTCTTCTGACAATGTTTTAATGACAATAATCTGACAATGTTTAAAGAATTGACAATGTTTTTTAATAGAACGTGTAAAGTCATAGAAAGAAATTATTGCCTTTTTAAAATAATAAACTTTTGCACCCTGCCCCCCCTTTTTTTTGCCTAGAATGAACTCTGAGTCTAGTAATTCTTGTATTGGACATTTTTTGTAAATTTTATATATATTTTTAATTNTAATGACAATAATCTGACAATGTTTAAAGAATTGACATTGTTTTTTAATAGAACGTGTAAAGTCATAGAAAGAAATTATTGCCTTTTTAAAATAATAAACTTTTGCACCCTCCCCCCCTTCTTTTTTGCCTGGAATGAGCTCTGAGTCTAGTAATTCTTGTATTTGACATTTTTTGTAAATTTTATATCTATTTTTAATTCTTTTTTTAGTATGGATTAGAAATGTTGTGTAAAGCAAAGGCTTAAAAATATGTAGCATCTTTATAATTAATTATTTGTTTGTATTTAAATCTTATTTTGAAAGAAGAAAAAAACTTATTTCTTATACTTTTTGCAAAATTTTCAAAAAAGTTTTTTTCTTTTTTAACAGAAAAATATTTAATTCTTGGTAGTACCATTAAATTTAAAATTTCCCTTTCTATTGTTTATTTAGAAAATTACTAGACTTTAAAAGTTAAATCAACACTTCCTTTGCAAAGTATTTTAATGAAAACTATAAAGTCAGTGAATTTTGTTGCTAAGGCTCTTTTGAGTAGTTTTAATCATCTAGGTTGATTAAGTATTTTCAAAAATTTTGTAGTTTTATATATTTAAACTAGTACTTCTTTTTGTAAAAAAGTTTTTAGAGCATGTTTTTAAATGTATTAAAAATCATTATAAGTATTAAAAAAATATGAAGGATGAAGTTCTCTTAAACATATTCATTAAACAACTTTTTAAAGAGTGAACACAAAATTATAGAACAGTCATCTTTAATAAATTTTATTTTAAATTTTAACTTCATGCATAAAACTTCAGTTTTGTAATTTTGTTTACCTATGATGAATTAAAAATGGTAGACTTTTGACATCTGAATTCTAAAATAACATTGATTTATGAATTAATATTGAGACAGAAGATTTCCTTATAATATAGGATACTACTGAGAGTTCAAATTATATTTTTCTTATCACGTAACGCTTATTTCTTTCTCTTATTTATTTTTAAAATTTTGAAATGGAAAAGCTAGGAAAATAATTTTTTTTTCTTTTCAAAATTATCTAAAATTATTCACGTACACTATATTTGAAAAATCATTTCAAAATTTGAACAAAAGAAGCTCAAAGGTACAATTTTATATCTGGTGAAATTCAATTTTATTTAGGGAGTTAAAAAGAAGGATGTTAATTAAAATTTTGATGCAATTAAAAAACGAAAAAGATTTTGTTTTTTAAGGAATATTAAAATTTCGTATATGTTTTAAAGTTATTCATGTATAAAAACCAAACAAAGATATTGTAAAGCAATATATTTGTAGTTATTATTGTAGTAAAACACTTTTTAAAAACTATTCAGAGCTATTTTTTTAAAATTAATCAAGCAAGCCTCCTTAATATATGCAGGTCCAAGGCTCCTAAAAGTGGCCCTTTTGTCAAGTTAAAAAAGTATAATCATGAATGTTAGTGTTTTATCTTAAATTAACATTCAATATCTGGACAATAAAAAATAAAAAAATTAATTGTTTTTGGCTTTCAGGTTCAGCTGCTGTCAAAGCAAAATATGTCTGCTTACCATTCGTTGATCAGCATACAACAGTTCAAAGTTATGGAATGGTTCAGTTATTTACACGTCCTCATCCCCATAAGTTGATCAAATCTTTATTTTTGAGAACTCCTTGAATTTTAAAAGAATTCAGTTTGTTAAGTTTTATTATTTTATAATAATTAGATTTCAGCAAAAGAAACATCGGTTCAATACGATATAAAATTTAAAAATATTTAAGTTTCTGAACTGTCATTATGAAAAACTTGGGCTCAATCCCCTGTGACGTCTTAAACTCCACCCAGCTTCAGATTGATGGGTACCAGCTTGTCTGGGAAGTAAAAGTGGCCTGTGTGCAGTGCTGACCACATTGCCGCAATCATGTCGTTGGTCACAAAAATTAGAAATTAAAACATGTTTATTGCATTTAAAAGTACTATTAATTGATGAAAAAGAATTGTAAAGACTTCTAATTACATGTTTTCTAATTAGAAAAAGCTAGTTAATTTTCAAATTAGAAAAATAACATGTTTTCTGATATTTCTTTACTTCTAGAATGTTACAATATAAATTTTTTTCAGGCACTGCTATCTTAGAACCACTGCATATTGTTATCTGCAGTGTTATTTGCCTTAATTAAATCCGTGAAATGAAAATAATTAAAAATTTTCTGGTGGAAGCTTAACAAAAATACTTTCTGAACGGTAGTATGAACGTTAGTTTTAAAACGTCGACATCTGATTGTATACCAAAATAAAATGTTACAGGTGTCTGACACAAAAGAGAGTGGTGATGAGGAAACACAAGTCCAGCTTTTTTAAAACATTTAGGTAGTATAAATAAATATTTTAATTTAAAATAATACATTTTTAAAGTGTTATTCTTTAATTACTATTTGATTAACTTGTATTATAATTATATTGATTGAAATTATGTAAAATGTGGATTAAGACAATTTCAAAGAATAATTTTATAAAAAGCATTTTTGTCTTGAGAGTAAATATGTTGAATTGCTCTGAGCATGTTGAATTTTTATCGATTTCAATAATAACGAAAATAAGAATATTGTTTTTAAAAGTATTTTTTGCTATTTTTGTTTTTAAAAGTATTTTTTGTATTAGTTTTCTTGAAATTATTTATCAAATACAGTGTGCTTATTTGTGTTCAAAACTAATGCAAAAAATAAACAAAACATCCTGAATTACTTTAGATGTAATGGTTGGATTTTTACATACTGAAACTTAATCCTTTCCCAATGGGAGAAGTTCAAATCTATTGGTATTTGAAATCCTATGGAGATGCAATGCTATCATGTGCCTAAAATTACAGTTTTTAAAACATTCTAAAACACTGTCACAAATATGGGATGGTCGCAGCTGCCACCGTCATGTTCGCTGCCACCGAGGCACTAGCGCGTAAGAGCGGCACTTCCTGGTATGCCGACGGCACGCTAGTGCGTCAATCGACTATGATAAGTTATATGCTCTGTGTTTAGTGTGGCTTTGGGAGTTTAACGGAGAGGTTGTTTTGGCACGTTAGTGAAGCATTATTATTATTATTTTTTTTGTGGTTGGTTTTCAAAATTTTTGTTTGAATTTTTTTATGTGCGTGACTGCCATTATCTGCATATTGTGCTTATTATTTGTAAATATTTTCAATTCTGTTTCATGCATGGTACTACATATACTTGAATGGTATTCCGTTTTATTCTTTTTGAACTGCTATTTTATGCAATATGCCATTAATTTCTGAGAATATTGGTCAGACGCGCTGGAGCGTCAGTGGCACTGGCGAAGACAGGTTGTATCTGTGTGCCACTGGCGCTCCAGAGCGTCGGGAAAAAAAACGCTCTCTAAACAGCAAAATAATATGTTTCTTTGTTTTTCTGGTTTTCCTAGTAAAATATAAGGAACATTTGAACCATTAAAACCCTGTTTTGTAATCCGGCTTCTGAGAATGGAAATATCATTTTTAGTGGCAGCGAATGTGTTAACGAGAAAGTGCATGGCAGTGTGTCGGCCGGAAAATGAGAGCGTTTCATTCCTTCTTGTGTATATGACAGTCAGCTCCAAACTGTTCAAGGAAGTGACTTCAGATATCTTAATTAATTAATGCATATGATTTTTTAGTTACGAAACCAGACACAAAACATACTTTCTCTGAATAAACTTACCTTTTTTGGGCAAATTTTTACCTTGTCCTCAAAATATTGGGGGTAGTTGTTATCTTGGGATAATGGTCAGGAAAGTGGTTAAAATTTTGGACCCTTTAATGTTAATTTTACTTTTCGCTTAGTTTGGAATGTTTTGAGAATTTCTTAAGTGAATGGAAAGATTTTTGCACACAATTATGGAATTGGTTTATCCAGAACTGATTTCTTGCAAAAGATAATTTTTATCCTTATTAATTGTTTTTTATTATTTTCTTTAATAATAGTTGAAAACATTTTGAATGGTAAGGTGTAAAATTTTTTTTGTCTCTTTAAGAATGTAATTGTACTTGGAAACATACAAACTTGGAACAAAATCAGTTGGAATTGTTCCTGAGAAATGGAATTTTAAAGAAGTCTTTTATTTGAAATTCGAATTTCTACCGAAATATTTGACCAATTTCATTTAAATTTTGTATTTTATCATGAATTACATTTTTTAAAATGATGTAAAATTGTGTTTATCTTATCTATCTAACAATGTTTATCTTATATTTCTGTATCTTATATACCTTACACTTCAAAATTTTTCAACTCTTATTAAATAAAATAATAAAAAAAGACATAATTATTAAAAATTATTTTTGAATTATTAAAAATTATCTTTGGAAGTTACCTTCAGTGGATCGATAAATGAGTACCAAGCATGCCTGGGAAATAAACACTGGGGGTTTTGACCACTTAACTGGAACATCTGTTCTTGCACCTCAGAGCCCAAAGGTCAAGAAAACTGAGATGGGCACAGTAGGCCTTGGCCCTCTATGGGCTGCCGCGCCTCTGAGTTTATCTTTGGATAAACAAATTTATTACTGTGTGTAAAAATCTTTCAATTCGCTTCAAAGAATTCTCGAGATGTAGCAAAATACGCAAAAAGAAGAATTAACATTGGACCGCTCTCCTAACTTGGACCATGCTCCAAACTTTGGACTGTTCTCATGGCAAAACTGTTGGGACCATGTTTTCTAGATAGTGGCTTCTCCCTATATTCTGAAGGTCAGAATCCAAACCAATTGAAAAAAAAAGAGTGTTTTTATTCAGAGGAGGCGCATTTTTGTATTTGTGTCTGGTTTCATAACCTAAATTGTCATCTGCACTAACTAATTAGCATAATAGAGATCATCCCCTTGAACTAATAAGATTTAGTCCTAGTGATGAAAATATGATCATTGGGTAAGATATTCAGGGTATTTCATGTATTTTTTATGCACTGCACATAGCTTTTTCATTAATGCAATTTGAATGANTAAATGAAACAGCAATATCATATTAATTAAGGACCAGAACTTATGCATAGTTAAAGCAAAAGTACTTTTAAGGCTTGTCCCATGGAATTTTCAACTAAATTTAATTCAATGGAATAGGTTCAGAAAGATAGTTGTGCAACAGAAAATATTGAGCAAAATGTTAAAACTTCAGCTTATTGTCAGAATAAATCATTGAGAGAAATATTTGAAGGAAATGCCCATTCAATATAAAAGAAGATCAGAAAGAACTTAGCAAATANAAGGTTAAAACTGCAGCTTATTGGCATGAAATATTGAAAGAAAGGTTTGAAAGAAATGCCCATTCTATATAAAAGAAGATCAGAAAAACCTTAGCGAATAAATATATTTGAATAAATAACATATGCTATCTTTTATTAATGGATTACTACCATTAGTGTAAAATAAATTTTCCTATGACACTAATTGTTACTATGTATCTATATATTAGACAGGGTTTATTCTTATAAGAAATCATAGAAACCTTCAGTTTTATTTATCTCTCTATTATTATACTTTTTCTTATCTCTCTATTTTTCAGATTTCAGCTGTATTCTGCAATTTTAATTGAATAAAGGACTATTACTACTCAATTCAATCTTAATAGATACTCTAAGAAGGAATTTTATAATGCAGTATCTTCCTTAAATAAAATTTGCGAAACTTTTTTACCTAAGCTTTTTTCTTTCAAATAGTTTTAAAAATTAAGGAGGAAAATAAAACGAGCTGCATTTGTTTATCTAGGAATTTATAAAAACTTTAAAAAAAAAATGAAATTTATAATATAAATTTTTTTAAGAGTTATTATTTTATCTGAAATCCTTATCTTATTTAAAATTGATTTTTCTTTTAAGCAATATTTTTTTTTTAAATGTAAGTATGTTCTATTTATAAAACTTTTCATTATAAATAAATGTCAGAACATGCTCTTTAAAGACAAAAATATTTTTGTTTATAATCGACTTATATATTTATTTTTATTATTTAGATCAAAATCTTCATCTGATCGCTCAGAATCTTGACCGGAAAACCAAATTATTGTTTTACCCAAGGATCCATTATCTTCCCATCTTGAAGCTCTGCATACTTTTCTATCTTGGTTTGATGGAGAATATCATAATTTTAATGAATTTAAGGTCAGTCTTTAAGTACCGATTCAAACACTGAAAAGGGTTTATTATATACTTTTTAAATTAAAGGGTTCATTAACATTATAAGTTGAAAAAATTCACCTTTTCATGTTTTTATGCTTCCCTTAATTGGCTCGTAAAACAGGTATGTCATTAGGAAACGTGGCTTAGCATGCATTCCCTAAAAATGTTTGGTTATTGCTTAAAGCTCATTCTAGATCTGGTGTTAACTTTAAAACTAACGTAATTTATTCTTCCTTATTGATGCTACAGCCCAGGGTGAACCTTATCCTGTTGCACAATATTTTGCCAATCAGCTCTGTCCCTGACCTTGATCTTCCAGTAGGAGATCTTGAATGTTTTGAAATCATCCATCTTTTCTTCTGTCTCTCTCTTGGCCTAATGTAATGAAATTCAAACAATGTATTTTTATTGTTTGATAATATAATCTCTGTTATTCTGCTATACAGTTTTCCATCTAGGCATAAGCATTGTCATGAATGAAAATATTTATTTAACAGAAGATTGTTCTCTATATTTATTTAACAGAAACATTTCGCCATGCTGTAGTTGGTTAAAATGAATTATTTAGTTTGTCTTCTTAATGTACCTTAAAAAATTAAAAGAGTTGTCCAGCTTTTGCAACCAGGTTCTTAATCTTCATCCTCTTTTTTCACTGTTCTTAAGTGCTGAATGTTGTTTTATTTCATGCTATTACTTGATTAAAACTTATTTTATATAGGATGATGATTGGGTTATGAATGTTAAGTTTCTTGCAATATACTCAGTTGCAGGGAACTTTTTCCGTTTTCTTCCTCTGTAGCACTCACATTACTAGCATAAATCTCCAATAGTTGTCTTGATTTAACTTCTAGTATAAAAGCACCCTGCAAAAATTTATCAAAAAATTTTGAACAGTTTGTAGTGTCAAATCACTGTCTAAATAAACTGCCAAATTCCTCTCGTGTGTAGTTACATTACTCACACATTTCTGAAATTCATAGAACATTACAAATTGTAAATTAACCTTTTTATTGTCCATTTTTGGAACATCAATATTCAATCTTGTAGAGGCAAAGCACACTTTCCAGTACTGGCAACACAACAGCCAAACAAAAAAGTGTCCACATCACCTAATAAAATATACTCTAGCGCCATCTCTGAGCACCGGACAAAAACTTTTTAAATGACCTCACACACACATACTCATATATATCTATTATATATATATATGACAGTGGCGTGAAAATTTTGGGTGGTCATCGCAATTATTTAAGCTTGTGGTGAAAAATTATTAACTCTAAAATGCAATGGTTGAATGTTCAAAAAAGAAACTTGAAATCTTACCTTCACTTATAAATGAACTCCAGCCTTCTTGTTTTTGAAGCGAATTTGTTAGTGATTTTGATGTAGAAGTCTTCCTTCTCCTTTAAAGACAGCAACAGTTCCTTTTCAATGTACAACAAAACCAAATTACTGAGCCTGTCTTCTGTTTGTGTGGACCTCTTGCATGTATGAATCCTTTTAAGGGCGGAAAAACTCCTTTCTACTGGTGCTATTGTTGCAGGAATGGTCGAAATTAATTTGGAGAGTTTAAAACTTTCCTTGAAAGAACAGTGTAAATTTTCTTCTTTCAGAAATTTTATTAGTTCTTGTGGGCATTTGTCGTTAAATGTAGAAGTCCAGTAAAATACAATCAGTTCATTTTTCCACCCTGTCATATCAAAGGTTTGTGGATATAATTCTCCTAGATTAGTTAAAAGTTGTTCAGGGAAGCTATTTTTTTCTGAAAAATTCTTGGAACTGTTTAGGATTTAGTAAATCAAAGAATGCCAGTTTTTTTCAGAGAAGAAAACCGGCTGCATAAGTGGCTAAGTAAATTATCTGTTGCTTCATAAAACAGCTTTCTATATAGTTGCTCTAAAGTCAGAGAACTTTCGTTGTTAGCATGAACTTTTCTTTTTCTTTTCAGTAATCCTGCCACTGAAACAGTTTTTTTTCCCAAATTATGGGAAATCCGATAATGTCACTTTCTTGCATTCTCCAAGACTTCTTGAAAGTCTCTGATAACATTTAAGCAGGACAATATATTGATACTGTCTGCCTGCAACATTTGAAATAATAAATCTGTTCGGGTAAACTCGAACTTCTTCAAAAACAAGGAGTACCCATTGGCAACACAGCGATCTGGACCATCCCAGGTATCATCAGAACTTTCATAATTGCTTTTAAAAAAATCAATAATTTGTTCACGGTACTGTTCTACCGTATTCACCAGTCTTGAGGTAAAGCGCCATCTTGTAGTAGCAAAAGAAGGAATACTTTTTTTTAAGTATTCCTGCATTGGAAATGATCGCTTACTAGAAGGCGATGAAAATTTTGCAATAGCGCTTAGTGTTGAAAAGAATGTGTTGCATTCTAAAATATCTTTCATGCCCTGAGATAAAACCAAGTTTAATACATGAGCATAACAGTGCGTTAATAGAGCTTTTGGATATATATCTGTAACCTTTTTGTGCAAACCTGACAAATGGACTGACATTACAGCAGCACCATCGTACGTCTGAGCAATGAATTGATTTGCCAGTTTATATTCACTTACGGTTTTCTGTACATGCTCGAGCAAACCATTAGATGTACGGTCTGCACTTACGTCGGTAAATCCAACGAACCTCTCTGTAACACTGCTGTTTCCCTTCACTACATATCTCTAAACTGTAGAGAGCTGTGACCTTCTTCTAATATCCAACGCTTCATCTAATATTAAAGCTACAAAATCTGCTTCCTCAACTTCTCGTTTAATAGTTTCTATCAGTTCTTCACTAATAATACTAATTAGTTCGTTTTGTATATCATTTGAAGTGCCTTTAAAAACTGTGGAATTTTCAAAATGTTCTGCTAAAACTGGATCGTAGAGTTTTAAAAGATTTAAAGTTTCAACATAATTTCCTTGATTCAAAGAGGAAGTTTTTTCATTGTGCCCTCGGAAGGGTAATTCTTGTTTGGCAAGAAAACATGTCACATCTATGAGTCGCTTTAAAACTTCACGATTTTTCTTAACTGTTTGGTTATGCAAATTGCTATTAACTTTGAGGGTTTTGTCTATTCTTTCATCTATTCGTTGCTTTCCAAAATTATACAGGTCTGCTACACACTGAAGATGTGATTTAGAATTTTTGTGTTCCTTGGTTGATTTGGTTAATCCATTCAAATTACTGAAACCAACGTTTCAGTAATTCCAAACGTTTTCAGTTTGGACAAACAGTTCCAAACGTTTTTGGATTTGGAAAATAAAAGACAGGGCCAGCAAAAAAGTTTGGACAAACTTTCACTGCCACAGAGCCAAGTATGAGAATCATAATTAGAAACTGTAAAGTGTCTGGTATATTCTCTGCCTTTTTCTTTTACTTTAGACGATAAATTTTTGAGTGATGGACAAGGTCTACCATTTTGGACAATATTAAGTTTATCCTCAAATCTTAAGTTTTTTCTGGAGTTCTTGTATAATATCCAATTCAGCCATGTTTGAATCAGTAAAATGGGCATCGATGGGGAAAAAATTTCAGTTCATTTAATGAAAATACTGAATTATCACATACGAATATTCAAAGAGGATGCAAAAACTTACCAAAAAATAATCAAAGCACCATCTCAATTAATAAAAATATCTATGACACAGCAAGACAAAAAAATCACTGAACAACAAACCCGCCAAACAAACAGAAATATTTAAAAAAAACACGTGCACATCGGTAGTTGGCTGTTCTAACTTACGATCTAACTCCCTCGCCAAAACTTTCAATCTATTAACTAAGCCATCTCAGTTAAAAAGCAGAATATACAATACAATGAAAGAGAAAAATTAATCAAAAAGTCCTGCAAAATAAAAAATTACCCTTTAAGAAAAGAGAAATTTTAATTGAATAACATTTCATAACAACAGGGAAGTACAGCGGATAACGGAACAGCAACGCTGTTCTAGTTTGAAATCCATCCCCTTCACTTGAAAGTGCGAGAGCTTCTTGGCTTCTGTCCAACAGAAGCTCAAAAATCTGCGGTGAGTAGCGTTACTTTTAGTTAGGTAAAAAGATACGGTGGGGACGGGGGATGAATGACTGAGGCAGGTAAAAAAAAACGTTATTTGGATGTGCTAAAGTTTGCGGATCGCACAAGGTTTCTCTTTGGTTTTTACAAATTTTTGATCTGGATTTTTTTTTTGTTTTTTGGAAAAATCATATTTTTTAAATTATATTTAAACTCAAAATACTCTATCTAATTCTCTGAAATATTACTTGGTCATCGCCGCATCGTCCGATGATCGGACGCCACGCCACTGATATATGAGTATATATATATATATATTATACAGACCTTCTAACTGCTATTTTTTGCAAAACTATGTTATAGAGTAGAGGCAATCAACATTTAAAAACTATAGCTTCCAAAAAAATTTTTGGTAATTTTGCTAACATCTTAAAAGCCTCCCCATGAGAGAGTCCGAACAAAGTTACATTACGTATGAACTTTTAAATCATTTATATGTAGTACTTTTGAAAATAACTTTGAATCAAATTTATAAAACAAAGAATCATACATAAAACTTAGCTACGATCACCATCTCTGGTGACACAACAGCCCTATGTCGCCTTCTTTAGAGTATTTTTCCATTCCACTCTTTTGCAGGCAGCTCCAGTTCCAGTTCCTGTTCTCCAGTTCCTTACTTTAATTACAGAAATCTGAACAGCTTGTCTATTGTTGTTATTCTTATCTTAGCCTTTTATTACCGTAATTTCACAGAGAAGCGCCGCCCTGGTATATATGCCGCACACTCAAAAATCGGCTGAAAGAAAAAAGCTTTTCACCGGACACGCCGCACCATCATACACGACGCGCCAAATTTTTAACAATTAACGAATTTTGAACTTAACGCACGTATTGATTAAAGACTTAACACATGCTCTAAATATGCATATGTATATAATTTAAATAGTTAAACAAAAGCCAATAAAAGGATATTGAATATACAAAAAAAAAAAAACAATCCTAGTATATAAATTAGATTTCTATAACTTTCTAAGTAAAAGTAAGCATTTTTAAAGTGAAGTAACCATTAAAATATAAATAAAATAATTAATATATCAAAAACTATTAAAATAAGTATGAAAATATTTAAAACTAAAACGATCTTACTTTTGAATCAACAATTCAATATCCTGTTTTGGAAATAAACGATAAATCCAAACAAATCTTGTTCATAGAAAAGCTTAAGAATAATTTATTTAGATATCACCTATCACTATATATTCATATCACTGCATTTAAAAATCCCTCAAAATCAGAGCTCTCTGTATCAGAGCAAATTAGGTTTACTAGTTAATTGTTTATTTCGGGTTAGTCTTTGTCACTCACACTTTCAGCCTCACTTTCGGTTTCATTTTGTCCCAGAATGATTTCTGCTTTTTTGAAGTCATATATCACAGTTTCTTTTTCTCTTTTAATTGCTGACAGCTTAAACTCAGAGGTATAATTTTTCCTCTTTATGGGAGGCATTTAAAATGGATAACTTAAATATAACTTATGTTAAAACGAAACAAAAATAGTCTAAGCGAAACAAAATATTAACGAAAATAAAATATTAGTAAAACAAAAACTTATCAGAATTGAAGATTAAAAAAAATCATAAGTTGAGGAAGATGATCGAAATCAGACAGAAATATGAGCAATGAAAAAAAGCTCTCTCCCAAGCATATAAAACAAGTTTCTATTTTTAGAAAATTCCTCCCCCTATTTTCTCTTCTCAAATCAGGTTTCTTTTTTTAACTGACTCCGCCTAGGACGCTCTTTCTTTTATCCCTGTCTATAATTCTCACACACTTTGCTTTTTTCCCTCTTCACTGAGCCTCAGTTGAAAGTTAGAAATTCTTTTTGAACATTCTAATTGCAAGATTATTGAAGGTCATTCCAAGCTCAACAGCACCCTTTATTCAACAAACATTCACATGTTTGTAACAACCAGCTGAAGAAAAAAGGGGAGTGGAGAGAGGCATCCATGACAAGTGGAAGAGACATATTTCCTGGAAAAAACAGAGGGGGGGGGAGAGTGTTTGTTTTACAGTTGAGGTTATAACTGGCCCCACCCTGATTTTCTTCATTCATTCCTTTCTGATTTATGCTTCTCCACTCCGCGCCCATTTCCTACACTCAACAACTGTTCATATGGCAGAAGGGAAAGAGAGACTTTGTTCTCTTGTGGATAGTGGTCTCCAGAAAGTGATTCCAAGGAAGGATTGGGGAGTGTGGGGAGGGAAAAATTCCAGGTGCACTGACTATTCCTTGGAGTAACATTAGGCATGAAAAAATAAATTAAAAGCACAGTAACAGGTGGAAAAAATGATGATGAAATTTCCAGTGGGGTTTCTAAAAAGCAAAATTTTTAAAAGGAAAAAAAGTAATACTATATAGGCTGCCCCGTTAGATACGCATTCCTACTAAATTTTCAAGCTTTATATCATAAACGCTGCGGCCAATCTCCGTGAAATTACGGTATATTGAGTGGCACTTAAAACTTTCTAGGCAGTTCTGTTTGAGTTCATCCTTACCATCTCCTTCTGTTTAGTCTTATTAATTTTATCATATCTTTTTCATATAACTTGTATATTTCCTAGATGTATCTTTCTCTTCAGACACCATTGTCTCCATCAAAAATAGTTCAGTGGACTCTTCTTTCAAATATCAAGATAG